CGCCCGTACCTCCTTGATCCATGCGGCTGCCCCACATTTTCTGTGGCCGTTTGCAGTCCGGTACGCCGCGCATCAGCTCAACCTCTGGCCCCGTGTCTCCGTTCCGGAGACCTCCCCGACACTGCGTTGGACGGGAGCGGTTGGCGATGCGTTTGTGTTCCGTGTCTGGGGATCTCGTGCCTTTGTTCGCGATACGTCCGCGGACAAGCTCTCCTCCCGTGCCGTTACTTGTGTCTTCTTGGGCTTTGTCCCTGACGCGCCTGGCTGGCAGTTTTACCACCCCACTTCGCGCCGTGTCTTCCCCTCTCAGGACGTCTCGTTTCACGAATCGGTCCCCTTTTACCGTCTCTTCCCCTACCGCACTGCCCCGCTCCCCCCTCCGCCGCTCTTCCTCACGCCAGGTGCTGCTTTGGTAGACCCCCTGCCTCCGCAGGGTCCTGCTCCCTCAGGTGTTTCCCAGGTAGACCCGGTCGAGCCTGTCAAGGTAGCTGTCGACTCTGGTCCTGCACAAGGTACTGAGCGTGCTGAGCCTGAGCATGCTGAGCCTGGTGGTGCTGGGTCTGGGGGTACTGCGACTGGGGGTGCTGAGCCTGGGGGTGCGGAGACTGGGGGTGCTGAGCCTGGGGTTGCTGAGTCTTGGGGTGTTGTCCCTAGGGTTGCTGAGTCTGGAGGTCATGAGCCTGGGGGTGCTGCGCATGGGGGCGTTCTCTCTTCCCAGTAGCTGCGTGAGTGGTACTCTCGGTACTATCGCCGCCGCCGTGGTGCTGTGGAAGCTGGAGGTGCTACTCGAGCTAGAGCTAAGGGCGCTGAGCCTACTGGAGCTGGAGTTGCTGCTGTCCCTCGGGTTGGCGCTGGAGGCGCTGGAGCCACTGGTCCTGGAGGTGCTCGTACTGGCGGTACTGGAGCTGCTAGGACTGGGGGTGCTATTGGAGCTGCTAGAGCTGGTCCTCGTGGAGGTGCTGCTGGTGCTGCTGGAGGTATAGGAGCTGCTGGAGCTTCTGGTGGTGCTGCTGGTACTGGGGCTGGTGCTGCTGGAGGTACTGGTGCTGCTGGAGGTGCTGCTAGTGCTGGTCGTGCTAGAGGTGCTGCTGGTGCTACTGGAGGTACTGGAGCTGGTGGTGGTGCTGAGCGAGTTGGAGCTGCTGCTGGAGGTTCTGGTGCTGTCTCTGCTGGTTCTGGGGGCACTTCACGGCCACAGCCGTACTTCGTTCCCCTCCTTCAGCAGGATCTTGGTCAGCCGCCTCCTCCTTGTCCTGCTTTCTCCTTAGAGTGTCCTCCGCCTCTCCACTCGCTGTCAGAGCTACCACCTGCCTCGCCACTCCCTGGTCCTTCTCCCTACACTGGTCCGACAGGCGGTCTTATGGAGCGTCGTGAGCCTCAGTCTCGTCCTGTGTCGCCTGAGTCTCGGTCTGCGTCACCTGTTCGTGCTGCTCGCACTGGTCGTCGTGTCCCGCGTCAGCGTCCTCGTGCTGTCCCAGGCACTCACTAGATGGCGCTTCGTCCTTCCACTGCTCCACAGCGTGTCGCGCTGCCTTCTCTTCCTGCGTCCTCTCTTCCTACCCTTGCTGACCTAGAGTCTGACTCTCTTCGTGTTGCTAGTCCTACTGTCACGCGTCTCCTGGCCACTGCTGTCACTGACCCTTCCTTTGAGTCTGCTGTTGCGTCTGCCTTAGTTGCTGAGCTTGTCGACTTTGCTGCTCACTATCATCTAGACTACGCTGCGAGTCTTGCTGCTGAGTCTGAGTCTCAGTCTGTCTGTCCTCCGTCCATCGGGGGTGAGTGTGCTCTTGGGATGGACGTCCTTGAGGACAGGCAGGAGGAGTTTGAGTGCTTTGCCGCTGGTGTACCTCATCTCGTGTCCATGCTGATTGCACCTGAGGGGGACCCGGATGCACCAGACATCCCGACCCCGCGCTCTTACGCTGAGGCGATCGCGGGTGAGTACTCCTATCAATGGCAGTCAGCCATGGACGCAGAGATGGCATCCTGGAAGTCCGCGAGCACTTGCGTCGACGAGGTTCCCCCTCCTGGGGCGAACATCGTCACTCGCATGTGGATTTTCAGGGTGAAGTGGCCGCCAGGTTCTCCGCCTGTCTTCAAGGCTCGTTACGTTGCTCGAGGCTTCATTCTGCGAGAGGGAGTAGACTTCTTCTAGACCTTCTCCCCCACCCCGAAGATGACCACTCTTCGGGTGCTACTGCACGTTGGCGCTCTGCGTGACTACGAGCTTCACTCTCTTGACTTCAGCACAACTTTCTTGCACGGCAGCCTGCACGAGGAAATCTGGCTGCCCCGCCCTCCTTGCTTCACTGGGTCGTTCCCTCCTGGTACCCAGTGGAGCCTCTGGCGGCTGGTCTACGGTCTCCGCCAGGCGTCACGTGAGTGGAATGACACATTTAGGACTACACTTGCGGCTCTTGGGTTCGCGCCTTCTACTGCTGACCCGTCGCTGTTTCTGTGCACCGACACTTCGCTGCCGTTGTTCTTCATCCTCGTGTACGTCGACGACTTGGTCTTTGCCACTGCTGATACTGAGGCTCTCGCCCACGTGAAGTCGGAGCTGCAGAAGAGACACACGTGCACAGACGTGGGTGAACTGCGCAGCTACCTTGGCTTGCAGATCACCCGGGACAAAGCATGCCGCACCATCACACTAACTCAGTCACACATGGTGCAGCAGGTCCTTCAGCGCTTCAGCTTCACCTGGTCCTTGGCACAGGCCACTCCTCTGGCTACAGGTCACTCGCTCTCAGCTCCACCTTCGGACGAGTCCGTAGAGCCGAGCAGTCCTTACCCAAAGCTAGTTGGTTGTCTCATGTACTTGATGACTTGTACTCGTCCTGACCTCGCGTACCCTCTTGGCCTTCTTGCTCGCTACGTGGCTCTTGGTCGGCACCGAAAGGTGCACATGGATGCTGCTAAGAGGGTACTGCGCTACTTGTGCAGTACATCAGGCATGAGTTTCGTGCTTGGAGGGAGGAGCTCAGTTGTCCTCACTGGGCACTCAGACGCTTCTTGGGTTGACGACCAGGCTACTCAGCGGTCGTCACAGGGTTACACATTCAGCCTTGGCTCTGGTTCAGTTTCTTGGCGTTCTACATGTTCGTCTTGAGCTCTCAGCTCTAGTTGTGAGGTTGAGATCTACGCCACAGCCATGGCTGCACAGGAGTTACGTTGGCTCACCTACCCGCTGACTGACTTGGGAGCGCGGCCTCGTTCTCCTCCAATGTTGTACGTCGACAACAAGGCTACCATTGCTTTGTGTGAGGAGCATAGACTTGAGCACAGAACAAAGCAAATTGCTCTGCCTTACTTCCTGGCTCGAGAGTTGCAGCAGCATGGTCAGCTTCGTATGCGTTACGTGGCCACTCGGGCCAACACTGCTGATATATTCACCAAGGCACTTCAGTCCGGTGATCATCTGCGTTTCTGCACTATGCTAGGGCTTGTGCCCACTTTTCCTCACTTGTTGTAGGCTTTGCTTGTACTGTGATATATATATATATCTAACTGCATGCTTGCTTTGCTAGGTAGAGATCCCTGTGCTGTTTGTGTTGCATATATGCCTCTGCATGTGGACTGGCCTTGTGGCCCTTTGCTTGTGCTCCGAGTGTGTGGTGACGTTGTGATCCACCTTGAGCTTGCTTTGCCTTTCTTGACTGGTCTTGTGACCCCTTGCTCTCCCCCAGTTTGCCTATTGGGGTGTGTCAAATGTCATATCTGCAGTAGTTTGTTTAGGCTGTAGTGGGGTAGTTACTATGGGGTACAGTAAGTTAAGGGTTTCCTACTTGTACCCAACTCTTTCCTAGTGCAATCACTCTTGTTCATTCTGACACGGCAGAGGATATTGCATGATCTTGTGGCTCCCTGCCTTTTGGCTCACTCTACTTGTTAGTCCATTGCAAGTAGAATTATCATGCATTGATATAAAGAACACAATGGAACTGCCGTGCGGAGCTATTCGATATTCACTTTTAACGGATCTCGCAGTTGAGTTTGTTTCCCGCCGAACAGGGCCCAGGTGTCACACCCAAGGGAGAGTTTTGCCAGCCAACCACACGGCGCCACTGGCGCTGGCACGCCTTTCTCCCATCCCATACTCCGCCTTGTCCCCACGAAGCGCTGCGAGTCTGCGATGCTTGGTTGCGGTGCGGACGAATTTCGCATGTCGATGAGGCGATGTCCCAATCCAAGGCCGTCAGATCTGTCTGTCGACCTTGGCGGCAGGTGGGTCAGGCTTCGCTCAATCTCGGTTCAACAGAAGCGGTGGTGTGCGATGCTGTGCACTCTGGAGCTGTATGTGAGTTTCAATGGTTCAAACTGTTACGCACCAATCTAAAACATGGAATGGGAGGTTTCACTGCATGCTATTTCGGGTGAAACAAGGGGCGAGAGGACAGGAGCGCCGCTACGATACGAGGAGTGGAGTTGGTTGGGCTCTGCCTCTGCTGCCCTCAAATAGGTATCCTTCCCCTTGGTCCCTGACACTCCATTCAGCCTCCACCAGCAACCCTTACCTGCAACTGACCTCCCACCAGCACTACACCCACGCGCTCCTCGCTATCTTGCGCGAGCCAGGAGTCCTGAAAACGCGCTGCACTGCTGGAAACGCGCCATAGTGCCGATAACGTGCCGTAGTGCTCATAATACGCGCCGCAATGCTTGTAACGCGCCGCAGTGCTGACAACGCGCCATAGTGCCGAAAAAGTTCCATAGTGCTTAAGAAACGCGCCGCGATTTTTGTAACAAGCCGTAGTGCTGAAGTATGCGCCGTAGCGCTGTGAGCCGTTGTCAGGCTGCGCGACAGCAGTCAGCGCACCACTAGATTCGCGTTTTACCCACTCCTGCGCGCCGCGCTGCTCACTAGCTTTCGCGACTCGCAGCCGTTCCCTTAGTGGTGACCGTGACACCTAGTCCGCGTCGGCCACGTGGCAAGATTCACGCGAGTTCTGCAGCGCAGCAGGTGCGCGGGCCCGGTAGAAAGGGGTGCGGGGAGGCGCATGGATGACGCCGGCGCGACACGCCCCACATGGCAGCAAACGGTGGCGACAACTCGACGGCGAGTCGTCGCTCGTCGCTGGCGGCGCGAAACGCTTCTCGCGACGCGGCTCACTCACGCGCGACCCCGCCGCCTTCTCCATCCGTTACTCGCGCTCCCCGCCGTTTTCCTTCTCCTCCTCGCGTCGCCGCGCGCGCTCGTGCGATCCCGCGTTGTGCTATCCGGGGACGCCAACCTCCGCCTGCCCGCGACCGCTGCCGCGAGAGGCGCGGCGAGCGGCGCAGGCAGAGCGGACGCGGCGGCATGGCCGTCCACCCGCGAGGGAGCCCTCCCAGGGAAACTATTCAGTTCCGCCACCACCTTAGGCTCGGATTCGGATTCGGCTATAGAATTAGGCTCGGCGGCTTCCAGGCGGGTTGCCTCGCGCGCGCCGTGGGCGGCGGCGATCGCGAAGTCGCTGACGCGGAGAGGGCGGGAAGACGGGGAAGGGGGGACGGGAGGGGAAGACGAAGGCGAAGGGCGGACGTCGCGCGCGGGGCGGAAGCGAGAAGCAGTTGCGGGGACGGCAGGGCCCATCGTGCTGCCCCTGCAGCGGCAGGTGCGCCGAGCGCACTCGCGGGAGCGGAAGACGGGCGGAGGCGAGCGTTCGGGGGCAGAGGAGGCGCCGCGAGCGGGGGGAGGCGGAGAGGGAGGAACGCGGAGGCGGCAGTTGCGGGGACTGCCGCTTGAGCTGCGGGGGTCCGTTCTGGAGCTGGGGTGAGTGAGTTGCGCGCAGGGTGAGTGGGGCTGCAGTGAGTGACTGGCGGGTGCAGAGGCGTGGGGCTAGGATGAGTGGGGGAGACAAGGCAGGGATGGGGGAGTTGAAGTTACAAAGGTGGCGGCGGTGATGGGGTTTAGCCTTCAGCTGCTGCTCATGCGCCTCCATTCCTCGGATACTCTCCCACTCACACACCCTAGCCTTCTCTTACCCACAGTTTTGTGCACCATTTCTTTCCTCGCCCCACCATTTCTTTCCTCGCCCCACCATTTCTTTCCTCGCCCCACCATTTCTTTCCTCGCCCCACCATGTCTTCAACCCCAAACCCGCCCCACCTTCATGCGCCCCTCCCATCCCTCCCCTCCCCCAGGTACTACTACGTGACGCTGTACCTGGGGTGGCCGCCACAGCGGTTCGCGCTGATAGCGGACACGGGCAGCAGCATCACCTACGTGCCCTGCGCTGCCTGCACGCACTGCGGTAACCACCAGGTGCGACGCGGTAACCACCAGGTGCGATGCGGTAACTATCAGTTGGAGGAGAGGAGTTTGTGTGGGCACTGGTGGGCGCGCAGCACTGGTGGGCGCGCAGCACTGGTGGGCGCGCAGCACTGGTGGGCGCGCAGCACTGGTGGACGCGCAGCACTGGTGGGCGCGCAGCACTGGTGGCGCTGCAAGGTGGTGCATGAACCCATCCACCGACCCCACTCCGTACCCAACCTGCCTCTCTGCTCCCGCCCACCCTCCCCCACTCTCACCTTCCCTCTCCCCCTTTCCTCTCTCGCCCCTCGCTCTCCCAACCTGTCCTTTCTCGCCCTTCCAACCCATGGCAACCCCCTCGGCCCGACCAGGATCCGCGGTTCAACCCGGCGCTCTCAGCGTCGTACGCCACCATCCCCTGTGCGCACCCCCGCTGCCTCACACATGCCTGCTCGCCCACGGGGCTGTGCACGTACCACGGCGTGTACGCCGAGGCCAGCTCCACGCGCGGCCTCCTCGCCTCCGACCTCCTCTCCTTCGCCCCGCCCCCCCTCTCCCCATCCGCGCCACACCCTGCTGCTGCACAGCCCCACGTGCCAGCAGCGGGGGTGCACGAGGCGCGCTCACCTTCCCTGCCTACACCTCCTGCCGCCGCAGCTGCGCCTCTCAACGCCTCTCGGGCGTCGTCCTCCTCTCTGCCAGCGGCAGCAGCAGGGCGGGCGGGCGAGAGAGTGCTGCTGGCGGGCACAGCGGAGGTGGGGGTGGGCAGTGGAGAGGGCGGCGTGGGAGAAGCATGGGTGGGTGAGGGGGCGGGGGGTGAAGGGGGAGGAGGCGAGGGAGAGGGCGGGTCACGGGTGGCAGAGCAGGCTGTACCGGATGGCCCCCGACTCGTCTTCGGGTGAGCTCACCCCCCTCTCTTGCTGCCCTCGTGCTTTCTCAACGCTCCCACCCCACACACCACCACTGCCTCCCTCCCCCTCCTCCACGCTCCACAGAAGAGCGTCCGCACCCACCTCGCCCACACATGCCGTGTGTGGGAGAGCTTCCACCAGTCCCCATGCTGCCAACCCCGTGTCCCCATGCTGCCAACCCCGTGTCCCCATGCTGCCAACCCCACCCCGTGTCCCCATGCTGCCAAGCCAACCCCGTGTCCCCATGCTGCCAACCCCGTGTCCCCATGCTGCCAACCCCGTGTCCCCATGCTGCCAACCCCGTGTCCCCATGCTGCCAACCCCGTGTCCCCATGCTGCCAACCCCGTGTCCCCCTGTCCCCCACGTGTGGGGTGCACACGAGGGACCCCTTTGTGCCCCTGCTTCCCCTCGCAAATGCACCCCCGTTCCCTGCAAGTCCCCGCCGCTACCTGCAAGTCCCCGCCGCTACCTGCAAGTCCCCGCCGCGCTACCTGCAAGTCCCCTCCGCGCTACCTGCAAGTCCCTGACGTTTTTGCGGCCCGCCTCCCACACCGTGCGACCTTTGTCCTGCACCGTCCCCCCTGGCAGGTGTGAGCTGCAGGAGACGGGCGACCTGTACCTGCAGCGCGCGGACGGCATCGTGGGGTTGGGGCGGGACGCGCTGTCGCTGCCCAACCAGCTCGTGCGCGCCGGGGTCATGCACGACGACGTCTTCTCCCTCTGCTTCGCCGCCCCCGCTCGCCCCGCTCCTGCCCCCTCTGCTGCTGCTGATGCTGCTGTTGAGCATGCGGCTGATGGGTCGAATGCGAGCAGTCATGGTGGCGGGCAGGGGGAGCAGGCAGGCACGGCGCATGAGCAGGGGGGAGGGCAGGGCGAAGGGGGAGAGGAAGGGGGGATTGTAGATGCGGAGGGGGAGGGGGGCGAGCTGATTCTGGGGCGCGTGGAGGAGCTGCCCGGCACCGTGTGGACGCCCCTGCTGCCCTCCGCCAGGTGGGTGCTGCTGCCCTCCACCAGGTGGGTGCTGCTGCCCTCCGCCAGGTGGGTGCTGCTGCTGGCCGTGTGGCCTAAGGGACACGTCGGTAACACTCCCTGAACCCCTGCCATTCGTCTTCCCTTGCGCCACCATTCTTGTCCCAACCCAGCCGCCTCATCTCTCACCATTGCTTGCTGTCCAAAACAGGCAAGTGACTTTGTTCCCCCTGTGCACTGCCCTGCCATCCGCCCTGGCCACAATACAGTGAGACGCCGTACTACATAGTGAGTGTGGAGGAGATGGTGGTGGGGCAGCAACGCGTGGCGGTGGCGGCAGCTGTGTGGGAGGAGGGGCCGTACGGGGGGGTGATGCTGGACAGCGGCACCACCTTCTCCTATCTGCCCTCCCCCGCCTTCCACGCCTTCCACGCCCTCGTCAGTGCCCTGCCCACCACAACTTCATTCCCTGCCGCTCTCCACCTCACCCCCACTCCTGCTCTCACCCCCACTCCTGCTCTCACCCCCACTCCTGCTCTCACCCCCACTCCTGCTCTCACCCCCACTCCTACTCTCACCCCCACTCCTGCTCTCACTCCCACCACCATTCTGACTCACTCTCTCCACACGCACACTGCCTGCCACTATGCGACAGGGTGTGCCAATGCTCCATGCTCCTGCCACCACTGCCTCACACCCACCCTCCCATCTCTCTCGCCCCGCATGCCGCCCTTGCCCTGCTGCATCGCTGTGCCCATCAGGTGCGGGCGGCCGTGCCTCTCCCCCAGGTGCCGGGCCCTGATGCGCGCTACTCCGACATCTGCTTCGCCAATGTCTCCGCGTGAGCCCCCCCTCACGCGACTCCCCACCTTGTGCTTGCACGCGTCGTTGCCCCATTCCACTGCACTGCCGCTCCTGCTACACGCTGCTGCACTGCACGCCACTCCGCTCACTGCATGCACAGCACATCACATCACAGCACAGCACAGCACAGCACAGCACAGCACAGCACAGCACAGCACAGCACAGCACAGCACAGCACAGCACAGCACAGCACAGCACAGCACAGCACAGCACAGCACAGCACCGAACAGCACAGCACCGCAAGAGCCTTCTCTGTATTTTACTTCATCCAACCCTTCCTTCATCACCCCGCCAGAACACCCAATCCAATCTCTTCCCTACCTCCTCTGCCGTGCCCTTCCCCCTCTCCCCAATCTCCTCTCCCCCCCCTCCTTGTATCAGCGCGGGCGGCATGAACCGGCTGTTCCCATCGGCCACTGTAGTGTTTGGCAACGGAGCAGCGCTGCGCCTGCTGCCGCACAACTACCTCTTCAAGGTGCGCTGCTCCTCCTCGCTCCATGCTCTGCTTCCCCCATCCGCCCCTTCCTTTTCCCCTCTTCCCTCTTTCCCTTTCCCCGCCCTCCCCCTCTTTTCCCATTCCCACCTCGCTGCACCTCATGCGCACCTGCCACTTTCCCTCCACCTCCTCTCCTCTCTTCGCCCTCGCCTATCCTCTCTCTACCACTCGCACAACTGGCACCCTCCGCTTTCCCCTCCCTGCCACGTGAGCAGCACAAGAAGCATGAGGACGCGGTGTGTCTGGGCGTGTTTGACAACGGCAGTGGAGGGGCGCTTATCGGAGGTGAGAGGCAGAGGGAGCTGTGTGAGAGGCAGAGGGAGCTGTGTGAGAGGCAGAGGGAGCTGTGTGAGAGGTAGAGGGAGCTGTGTGAGAGGTGTCCAGGCGCCTCTAAGAGGCCAAGTGGCGACTTGGTGAAGCCTTATGGCAAACCATGGTGTGTTGCACATGGCATGGCATGGCATGGCGCAATGGTGGTGTTTGCATTCTTTGTGTTGCGTGTGGAGCGGCAGAGGGATGTGTCCGTATTCTTAGCCATGCATGCGAGGCATGAGTGCACGGCTGTAGCACGGACGCACAGCAACCAGCTGCCATGAGCGCCGAGCTCAAGGCTCAAGGGTAGTGGCACTGTGGTGTTTCATGGGTGGCCCCGGCTAAGCTCGCTCGGGCCAAAAAGGCACACCACACATCGCAACTTGTGCAACCACTGTGCTTCCACCTCTCTGCGTGCACTGCTGCTGTTCGCTTGACTCATGTCCTTGCATTTGTGGTGTCCTTTCTTCATTCCACGTGGCACGAATGCATGGCACCAGGAGTGGCGGTGAGGGGCATGCGAGTGACGTATGACAGGGAGCACCACCGCATTGGCTTCGCCCCACACAACTGCCCTTTGCGCCCCTCCCCTCCTCCTCCTGCTGCTGCTGCCTCGTCGCCCTCCCTCGCCCACAGCCCCCAAGCCCCACCACTCGCAGCCTCTCCTTCCGCTGCTGCTCATGCTCCTCCCCGCCCCTCCTCTGCGGAGGCTACTGCCGTGCCCGACCAGGGTGGCAGCCCAAGTAGTGAGAGCAGTGGCAGGGTGGGTGCCGGCAGTGCGAAAGCTGCCGGGAAGGCTGGAATTGGGGTGGGGAGCAGCAGTGGAGGGGAGGACACAGAGGAGGGAGGGGAGGGGGACGAGCGAGTGGAGGCTAATGGAAAGCGGGGCGAGGATGAGGAGAAGGTGCAGGCGGTGGGTGGAGGGCTGGAGGGAGCGGAGATGAGAGGGGCAGTTGATGCAAACAGCACGGCTCTGGAAGGGGCGTGGGCGGGTAACGAGGAGCAGTGGTGGTGGGATGCAGTGAGTCGCAGTGTGCTGCTGGGAGGCGGGGCAGGCGGTGGTGGGGAGGGCAGGGCGGAGCTGGCGTCATGGAATGTGAGCGAGGAGTTGGAGGGCAGTGGGAAGGTGGAGGAGGAGGAGGTGGTGGGGGGGGAAGGGGAGCATGAGGAAGAGGGTGAGGAGGAGAGTGAGGGGAGCGAAGGTGGAGGTAGTGGTGGCAGCAGTGATGGTGGCAGCAGCGATGGTGGCAGCAGCGATGGTGGAACGGACGTAGTCCTTGCTGCAGCGCAGCAGCACCCGCTCACACGTGCCGGCCAGTGGTCGTCGTGCACGCACACCCCCGTGAGCATCATGAAGGAGGCTTCCAGGAAGTACACCACCATCCGGTGGCGCTGCACAGGCAGGGGCGGGCAGCGCGTGCTGTGGGACGTGGAGGAGGCGGTGGGGGGCGCAGTGACGCCCGCGGATGACAGCGAGGCAGACGGGGGAATGGCGCACGGGAGGGCGGAGGAGGCGGGGCGAACAGGTGGAGACGGGGATGGGGGCGAGCAGGATGGTGTGGCGGCGTCAGGTGCAGGGGTGGAGGGGGGCGAGCAGAGGGGCGCAGCAGAGTGGAGCGGTGGGAGTGACGGGCAGCACAGCCAGAGTCATAGCCACACGCACCTGCTGCTGCACCTCGTCTTCTCTGCCAGCCATCCACCCCTGCTGCCGCCACTCCCACCCAGCACCTCTGCCCCCTCCGCTTCCGCAGCACCGCTCTCACTCCCGCCGTCTGTCTCCACCACCCCGCCGCTCCCCACCGTCCTGCCAGCGCTGCTGCCAGCGGTGGCTGCCGTCCTCCTCGTGCGCCCCACCCGGATGGCACTGGCCGCCTTCTCCTCCTCCACGCTGCTGCTGCCCTCCCCGCCGCGCCCAGAGGGGGAGGATGGCCACGGCCGCGGGAGCACGGGTGATGCGCACGACAGTCAGCAGCAGCAGAGGCAGAGGCACTTCACCACGGCGTCCCTCACCATCGACTGCCCCTCGCCACGCGCCCACCGCACAGCGCCGGCACGCACCTGCTCCCACGAGGCACAGCGCCTGGCACGGCTGGTGCGGGCGGGGCGGTGCCAGGGCGTGGGGGAGCGCGTGCAGAGAGCCATGCGGGGAGAGGGGGCGGTGGGGAAGGCAGGCAGTGGTGACTCGCCCGTGCTGCTGCGCTGCTCCCTGCACACGCTGCCGCCCGCTGCTGCTGCGTCCACCCGCTCCCCACCTGACCATGGCGGCACTCCTGCCCTCTCTGACTCGCCTCTCGCTACTTCCTCACACGCTGCTGCCGCCCTGGCTCACGAGCAATGGCAGGCAGAGTATGGGCACGAGGAGAGCCGTGTGGGAGGGGCAGCAGCAGGGGTGAGAGGTGCAGGCGAGGGGCAGATGGACAGGGTGGGGAAGGGAGAAGCGGATGGAGGGGAGGAAGGGGGGGATGGGATGGTGGGAGAGATGGTGAAGTCAGTGCTTGGGGGGGCGGCAATGCACGCAAGGCAGCAGCAGAGCGTGCATGAGGGCTCTGATGTGGCTGTCATGCGCTCCATCACCCTCACTCTTAGGTTGCTGCTCATGCCATGCCTCCCTGCTTCCCATCACACACATGCACACACATGCACTCAAGCCCACTCAATTACTCACAGCCATATTCCCGTTTGTTACTTGTATCCTGCAAGAACCTGTCACGCTTTAATTGCCTCCGATTCCGTTGCCTTTTCTCGCCCTCTTAACTTTCTCTGCTCGCCCTCTCCTCCCATGCCTGCACGGCCGGCCTGCAGGGAGGAGCAGGGAGCCGCAGCCACGGCTGCCACTGGAGCAACGCCCCCAACACCATCAGCGGTGGCAGCAGCTGTGGTCCCGGCGGTAGTGCGCATGCAGGAGGAGCAGCGGCTGCAGTGGGCGGCGCTGGTGGTGGTGTATGCGCTGGTGGCGGTGTGCCTCGCTCTCATCCTCCGCCTGCAGTTCCGCCGAGGGGCCTTTGCCATCGCCATCACCACCGTTGCTGCCGCTGCTGCTACTGCAGGGGGGGTGTCTGCTGCACGGCCCCACCAGCTGTGCTCGCACTCGCCCTATGGGACCTGCTCGTGCCCTGTGGTAAAGCGCGCTGTGGACCGCTGCCACGTGTAGACTGCTTGCATTGCCATCCTACTGAAAGTATCACAACCCCAAGGGGAGGGGTTGTGACTAGGGCTGCGCAATGTCATGCCTGGAATGCCCACCATTGTATCTATCCATGTGTACAAAGGAGCATTCTACTTGATTTGTTTGACAGCATGGTAAGGTACTTTCCATGCTCTGGTACCGTACATGCCATCCCCCCCACACACTGCGCAGAACCGACCAGAACCCACACCGTGCACAAACCAGCCATGCAGGGCACGTTGCAGCCAAAGAATCGCACTCCAGGAAGAGTGCGCAATATGAGCACCTGTGATATACCGTTTGGCCCTGGATATTAGAGCATATGCGCTTATAATAAATTCATTGTTTTAGGGGGGGGGCGCACGTAATTGAGTAACGGCCATAAGCGCCGGCGCTCTTATAATGGCAATTATTAATTTTACTTTTAAGGATACCAAACTGAAGCCCCCAATAAGGCGAATACAACACTGTACCATGCGCGTGGGGGCCAGGATCCTTGTTATCAGACCAAATTGGTCTGATGGTCTGAAAATCAGACCTACTTTTTCTATTTCATCTGATTTTGAAGACAAGCAATTTTAGTTGGTCTGATCCATAAGACCAGAAATTTTATTTCGTCTGGAAAATCATACTCGGCGTTATACTTCATATGAGAAATCAGATATTGCGTACGTTTTCGTCTGACACCAAAGTACCGAGTGCTTCCCTCTTCCCCCTACCACCTGTCAGAACATTATAGCTTATATATTTGTGTAGGCTATAGTGGGGTATCCCATAGGGGGTACAACCCAATCAGGGTTTCCTATATGTACTCACTTCATTCATAGTTCATTCATTCTCTCATTCTAGTTTATTTCACATGGTTTCAGAGCGGTTACGCTCTCGGCCTGTGGGTACTACTGCTTCCGCTGCTACATGCTCTGTCGCACGCCCCGTGGCGTGCGACGCGCGCGCGGCGATTTGCACTTTGGCGCGCGCCTCGGGGCGCGCGGCCTCTTTCTTTTCTGGCGCGCCGCCCGTCCCGGCCCCTAGCCGCCCGCGCGCCGCCCGTCCCGGCCCCTAACCGTACGTGCGCCGCCCGTCCCGGCCCTTAGACGCCCGCGCGCCGCCCGTCCCGGCCCTTAGCCGCCCGTCCCGGCCCTTAGACGCCCGCGCGCCGCCCGTCCTGGCCCCTAGCCGCCCGCGCGCCGCCCGTCCTGGCCCCTAGCCGCCCGCGCGCCGCCCGTCCCGGCCCTTAGCCGCCCGCGCGCCGCCCGTCCCGACCGCGCGCCGCTGCTCCAGCCCGTCGACACCCGTGCGTCGCCCGTCCTGGCCCCACGCCGCCCGTGCACCGCCCGTTCCGGCAGCGCGCCGCCGTCCCGGCCCCACGCCGCACGTGCACCGCACGTCCCGGCCCCACGCCGCCCGTGCACCGCCCGTCCCGGCCCCGCGCAGCTGCCCCGGCCCGTCGCCTGCTGCATTGCCGAGCCGCCGAGCAGCCCAGCAACCGAGCCGTAGCCGAGCCGCTGAGCAGCCCAGCAGCCGAGCCGCAGAGCAGCCGAGCCGCCCGAGCCGGCCGAGCCACCCGAGCCACCCGAGCCGCCGAGCCGCCCGAGTCGCCCGAGCAGCCAAGCCGCCCGGGTCGCCCGAGCCGCCGAGCCGCAGTTACTGCAGTGCCGCCGTGCCGCCGAGTCGTCGAGCCTGCTCTTCCCACCACTGGTGAGCCCCTGCCTTCCTTACTGCTGCTACTCCTGCTCCTGCTTCTACTGGCGGCGGCCAGATGCAGCTCCAGCGACGCCCACGCGCGTCTCTCACGCCCCAGCAGCTTCGTGAGTGGTACGCTCAGAGTAGAGGGTCTCTCAGTTCTGTTCGCTGCTCTTACGTGATTCGCACTAGTGCTCGGTCTGGTCAGCCTTGTGGGACGCCTAGTCATACACCGTCCCGCTGCTTCGCCCGTCTGAACGACGCCTGGCGTACCGAGTTTGGCGACGAGGCTGAGCTCCCCGACTGGGTGGAGTTGCTTAGGCAGAGGGTAGATATATTTGCTCTTGACTATGATGCTATTCTCACTGCCATGTATGCATTGCCTACTAGTGCTGACCGTGCCGGTAACCTGTGCGTACCGCCTGACCCGGGTATAGAGCCTGCTGCTCTAGCTGCTGGTGCGGCTGCTGCTCTGGGTGCTAGTGTGTCTCCTGCTCCAGGTACAGGTGCGGCTGCTGCTCTAGGTGCTAGTGAGTCTGCTTCCTCAGGTGCGGGTGAGTCTGCTCTCTCAGGTACCGCGTCGGCTCCGGCCTCTCACACCTTCACCCTTGACTCGGGGGCTTCCCGCTCCTTCTTTCGAGACCGCACCACACTCACGCCGCTTGGTCGGCCAGTTGCAGTCTCTCTGGCAGACCCCTCTGGGGGCCCTGTCCTTGCTCACTTCTCCACTGTCCTCCCGTGTCCGGTGGCCCCCTCTGGCACCCTGTCCGGTCTTTACCTCCCCTCGTTCTCTACGAACTTGGTGAGTGGTGCTGACCTGCAGGATGCGGGGGTTCACCAGTTCACTCCTGCGAGTCAGCGGGTGACCCACTGCACAGACGCTCGGACAGGCCAACACCTGGCCACGTTTACTCGTCGGCCGGGGTCGAGCCTGTACACACTGACCACTGCGTCTCCTCCAGTTACTGAGTCTGGTAGGGTAGCTGCATCAGGTCAGGTGTTTGCTGCAGCGTCCAGGTCTGGTTCTGAGTCTGCCCCCTGTTCGTGTCCTCTCCTGTCTCACGAGACTCTCCTCTGGCACCACCGCCTTGGTCACCCCTCTCTGCTTCGGCTTAGAGGCATGGCCTCTCGTCTTCTTGTTTCTGGTCTCCCCCGGTCCCTCCCTCCCCTTCCTCAGGGCCCTGGCCCTACCTGTGTCCCCTGTGTCAAGGGGCGCCAGCGTGCTGCCCCTCAGTCCTCCCAGTTTCCTCCGACAGAGGCCCCGTTGCAGACGATTCACATGGACGTGTGGGGCCCAGCCCGCGTTCGTGGACAGGGTCACGAGCGCTACTTCCTGCTAGTTGTTGACGACTACTCGCGTTACACCACAGTCTTCCCCTTGCGCAGCAAGGGTGATGTCACTGAGGTGCTGATCGACTGGATCCGCGCAGCTCGTCTCCAGCTCAGGCAGAGCTTTGGCTCGGACTTTCCTGTTCTGCGTCTACACTCGGACAGAGGCGGAGAGTTTTCCTCTGGCCTTCTGAGAGCCTACTGTCGCGCACGGGGCATCCGTCAGACCTTCACGCTTCCGGACTCTCCGCAGCAAAATGGGATTGCTGAGCGCCGCATTGGCATGGTCATGGACGTCACTCGTACGTCTATGATGCATGCGGATGCCCCCCATTTTCTGTGGCCGTTTGCGGTGAGGTACGCGGCACATCAGATCAACCTTCACCCCAGGGTCTCCAGGTCGGAGACCTCCCCAGCCTTGCTGTGGACGGGGAAGGTTGGCGATGCGTCGGCGTTCCGGGTCTGGGGATCTCGGGCGTTTGTCCGCGACTTGTCTGCGGACAAACTGTCCCCTCGTGCTGCTCCTTGCGTCTTCCTGGGGTTCCCCCCTGACGCGCATGGGTGGCAGTTCTACCACCCCACCTCTCGCTGTGTTCTGTCCTCCCAGGACGTCACATTTGACGAGTCGGTCCCCTACTACCGCCTCTTCCCCTACCGCACTCCGTCCCTCCCCCCGCCCTCGCTCTTCCTTGTACCAGGTCCCCCCCAGGTAGACCCCCTCCCCCCTCAGGGTCCTGCCCCTTCAGGTGTGTCCCAGGTAGACGCAGTCGAGCCTGTCGAGGTCACTGGTGACTCTGGTGCTGCTGGGGGTGCTTTGCCTGGGGGTGCCGGGCCTGGGGGTGCTGAGCCTGGAGGTGCTCCGCCTAGAGGTTCTCCGGGTGCTTCGTCTCGCAGGGAGCCACTGTCTCCACAGGAGCTGCGCGAGTGGTTTGCCCGGCGCTGGAGCCGTGCTGCTGGTGCTGGAGGTTCTTCGGCTACTGGGGGTGCTGAGCCTAGGGGTGCTGAGCCTGGGGGTGCTGAGCCTGGGGGTGCTACGCCTGGGGGTGCTGGGCCTGGGGGTGCTGGCCCTGGGTGTGCTGAGCCTGGGGGTGCTGAGCCTGGGGGTGCTTTGCCTGGGGGTGCTGGACCTGGGGGTGCTGTGCCTGGAGGTGCTCCGCCTGGAGGTTCTCCGGGTGCTTCGTCTCGCTGGGAGCCACTCTCTCCACAGGAGCTGCGCGAGTGGTTTGCCCGGCGCTGGAGCCGTGCTGCTGGTGCTGGAGGTTCGTCGGCTACTGAGGGTGCTGCTGTCGCGGGTCCCGGAGGTGCTCATCCTGGGAGTACTGGAGCTGCTGGGCCTGCAGGTTCGACTGGAGCTGGTGCTGCTGAGGGTGTTGGCGCTGAGACTACCACTCGCGGTCCTGCTAGGGGTGCTCCTGGTGCTGCTTGAGGTTCTGGAGCTGCTGGAGGTGCTGCTGGGGGTTCTGGAGCTGCTGGAGGTGCTGCTGGAGGTGCTGGAGCTACTGGAGGTGCTGCTGGAGCGGGTACTCCTGCAGGGGGTCCTGGTGCTGTCCCTGCTGTTTCTGGCGTCGCCACGCGGCCTCGACCGTACTTCGTTCCACTCCTGCAGCAGGTTCTTGGTCTTACACCTTCTACTGGTCCTCCTCCTCCTCCCTTAGAGGGTCCACAGCCTGTCCAGTCACAGTCACAGCTACAGCCTGCCTCCCCTTTGCCTGCTCCTTCTCCCTACACTGGTCCTACTGGAGGTCTTACTGAGCGTCGTGAGCGTGCGTCTCGTCTTGCGTCGCCTATTCGTGCTGCGCGCGCTAGTGGTCGCGGTTCGCGTCAGCGTCCTCCTCCTGTCCCTGGCACGCACCGGATGTCTCTGCGTCCGTCCACTGCTCCTCTGCGTGCCCCTTTGCCTTCTCCTCCTGCATCCTCTCTTCCTGCTCTTGCCGACCCGGAGTCGGACTCTCTTCGTGCTGCCAGTCCTACTG